TTAGTATAAAATTTTTAGCAATAGCGCCATAATTTATTAACAATTTTTAACTGTAAAGATGAACACGGCCGCAGCATAATTTTGTGAATCTTTATTAATTAAGATTCTTCTAATTGCAAATGAATATTAATAGCATGTATATTTCCTACACGTGAAACCATTCCTAAATATGCTTCTGCCATTTCATCCTCGAAAAAATTTTTCAAAATTTTAGGACAGCTTTTATAATTTATATTTAAGAAGTATTTTTTTAAAGGTTTGTAAAATTTTAAAATTTTATCGATGGCAGGTATTGATGATAACCACCTGATAGGGACATGTCGCAACAACTCACACCATTCCAAGTCAGACCACTCCACCAACTCTTTTAATTCATTAACTCTTTTAGTTGATGAACTAAATTCATTAAAACATTTCAGCATAATTATTTCGACATCCACAGATAATACATTCATTGCCTTCTTGTAAGAATTTTGTAGTATATGGCATATGCAGCCAATTGGTATTAAGTAATTATTGTGCTGCCTCAATTCGGTAAATATACTTTAGTTTTTGCCAAAATTCACAGAGGCATTATCAGCGTAGGCTGACATGTAATATCGACCTTTTAAATCGTTTAGAATTGACCTCTTGAATTCAGGTCCTAAAACATTTTTGATAGCCTTGATAATTTTTGTTCTACCACAAGTAAAGTTTGTACTTATATCGTAGTCGTTAAATATTATGGGGAAAAGATTAGACCCACATTGTGATGATAGATAGCTCTGTGAATGTTGAACTACATGATAGGTGTATACGATTTCCGCAACTGTAGTTGCATCTGTATTATTAATAACGTGATTGAACTATCAGTATCATTGAAATGAGTATAATATTATTTATTTAATTTAATCTGAACGTGATAATTAATCGTCTAGTCTCATAATGTTATACACAAACACACTGAAAATGATAAAATATGAAAAATAACAGGATAGAAAGAAATTTACAAACTAGACATGTTTTTCGAATAAATATTTAAAATTTAATTTAAAAATAATCAATTACTGTCTCAAAATTATTATTTATATATATTAAAAACGATAAAATGCTAAAACAAAATTGTGCGGGAGAAATTAAAATTGCGGGAGTGAGATGTCAGCATGTAAACTAAAAAATTGCGGGAGTCTCCCGCTGATGTGAGGAGAGATCGCAACCCTGGTAGTGCATAGTAATTTGTAAAAACCATCGTTATGCACAATTAAGATTTTTTGTCCGCCAAGACATTCTTATTTCCATATTATAAATGCTAGTTTCATGTACAAAGAGGTGATGAAAATATATTTTTTTCTAATGATAATCCATTCAACTACGCTAATCGTACTTTCTTCTACGTTTAATGGCGGTTTACAGGATAAACCAATTTCCTCTCTCATCCACCCTTTTTCACTGTCCTGAGCATCGCTATTTGTAAGAACAATTTTTCTCGTATCATACGTTATCACTTTCATCCACAGCTTGGTCTTCCTTTAGGCCTTGATCCCCTTACTTCAAAACACGGTCTATTTCTTCTCATCACCACTCCAATCGCTTCTATTCCAATCTTGTTTAGCAATTCCTTGCCTATTTCTCTCTCTTAGAAATACTTCGCACTCATCTAACCATTTTCATCTCCGTTTCCAATTTAACTTCGTGTGCCACTTTCATTGCCCATGTTTCACTACCACATACTATACAACTTAAGAAATTTTTTCTTCTATTGCAAGCTATGCCACTCTTGTATTTATTTTAAAAAATACATCTTGTTTTCTACCTTTTATAACAGAAAACAAATATTTTAGGAAGCTAATAATTTTATTCAAAAAGATTATCCTTTATAAAATTCACTTTTTTCTGTCTTTTATACACGACAAAAAAATACAATAAAAAATAATTTAATGATAAAATAAAAATCTGACCGCTGAACACTGATTGGACCACGATTATAAAATAAAAAATCGGTTCAAACCGTGGTTCTAAATAAAAAAACTGCTCTTTTAGTTTTTTTTTATTTTAAAAATATTTTCGTTTTTAAAATATTAATAATGAATAATCAAATATTTAGTTTAAAAGTAAAATATTTTTTTGACAAACTTATCGTTTTCATAGTATATTGCAAAATAAAAATGAACCGAAATGAATCACAAAATACTAACATCTGCTTAGTTGAAAGTAGTAAATATATACTTTGTTAACATATTTTATTTTAATACAAATGCTTTATTTAATAATATTTACAAATAAGCTGAAAGTACTAAATATATACTTTACTCTCCATCAGCAACTCAGGGCTATCTCATTACTGTTTAAGTTAACTTGTTCAATAATCAAAAGGTATTTTTTTGAAATCTTTTTCTGAAGGTTCCAGCAAATGTTTACTTTGTCCAGCTTTCCAAATTGCTGATCAAAATTCTAAAACTTGGTTGAAATAGCTGAAATGAAAAACTCTTCATTTAAATCGCTATATTAAAAAATCCAATAATTTTATTTTATAGGCATTAAATTATAATCTAGTTGCTTTTTTGAATGAGATAAATAAAAAGTTAAAAATGGCATGCACAGCTACAAAGCGCTTGCCTTTGATGTGGAGTATCCTGGGTTCGGATCTGATGTTTACCAAAATATATCGATTATGGAGATTATATATATTAGATGATATTAAATAAATATTTAAGGCTTACGATCAATTGTGGAGCAGGATTCACATTAATATTTATGCCAATTAGTTTAAGTTATTTTAAAAGTTTCAATCTATTTATAAAATTATTTAGAGTGAAGACAAAAAATTTGTCAAGCCAAATCCTGAAGATATGGAAAAAGTTAATAAAGCATTAAAAATTATATCAGAAAAGCCATATATAACTAGCTCGGCTCACGATATGCTGAAAGCCTTTATAAAATGAATGCAATTACTCTGAATTAAATTAATGTTTTTACCAAAATATTTGTAAATTAGTGCTTAAATAATTTTAATGCTATGTTTTCGCGTCGACTTTTATTCAATATTTATATTATTTTTTTTATAATAAAGTGGGGTAATAAATTGAAAATTTAAACAAATCACAATACGTTTACCATCATTTGTATTGTAGTGTACTCGACATTTAGTAAAAAAAATTGAGTTGTTTTTTATAATAAAAAAATTTCGAATTAAAATAATTTTAAGAAAAACATAATTGGGTTTCTAAAAAGGAACAATCGATAAATTTAAAGTTTGCTTGTATATTTTGGCTTAAGGGATAAGAATTCTTTAGTTCAAGTTTTTGTAATTTAATTTTGTGAATTATTTTAAAAGACTAAAGGTGAAAGGAGCAAACTATCCGTTGGTAGAAGTTGTAATTGGCGTGAATATTAAAATGTTGGTTTTTTATTTTTTTTAGTCTGTTAGAGTAAGCAGGTTGCTAATTCTGTTGTTGGGGAAGGATGAGGAGACACATATATAATCTCAAATAAGGAATTTGCTCAGGTGACAGTGGCCAGGTCTTAGGCCTTCATCTGATCTGTCTAAACCAATTTATATTAAAATTTTAAGTTTTGAACAGTTATAGAATTTTTATTTTATTCATATAAATTCTTTTTTTTATTTTTTATTCTACTTTTATCATAAGCAATAATTAATAAAAATCTTTGCATCTCACTCTTGGTAATATAACCTAGGTTAATATTAATGGCATTGGCTACAAATTTTATTTTTAATAATCAAAAGGTGCTACATTTAATAATTTTGAGAATATTTATTGATTTTAAATTTTCACAAAATATGTATTAAAGTAATTTTAGAAATTTTTAAGTTTATTCATATGAAGCGCTCGAGATAAAAACAATTAAAGATCTATAAATAACAGCCCAGGCAGGGTCTATTTTTTTAAAAATAATTTGGGTTGAGCTGGGTCGTGGGCTTAAATTTTTATGATATAATTACATCATGTCAAATAAAATTTTTAATTCTTACAAGAAACAAAGCCCTAATACTTTTTTATTTGTAGAATGTTTTTTTACAATAAAAAAAAATAAGTTTTTCTATATTTAAATAAATTCGGACTGGGCTGGGCGGACAAATAACTTTTATTTTGGGTCGGGCTTTTCGGGACAAAAAAGTTTCGTTCGAGATCGGGCTGGTCAGGACGAATTATTTTTGGCTGGGCTTGATGAATATTTAAGAACATTAAACAAAATAAATATTTTTTTAGTTGAGTCAAGTCCTATAAAGCTGTATAAATATTATAAAGAACAAAATAAATTAAAGATTTGCTTGTAGATTAGTTTCCTTATATAATGTAGCTTTTCACTTTTTAGAAAATGATTATAGAGTCCATAAGGCTTTTTCCTAACAAGACCTGTTTTTATGTTTAACAGCTTATACGATTTTAGGCAATGGGTAGTGATATTGTACTAGCAGTTTATTTTAAATGGGCTGTATATATTAAGCTGCAAATTCGGTAGGTAAAAATTATTAATATGTTGCTAATTTATTTACTTTTTAATAATAAATTTATATAAATTAATTATTCTAATTTATTTAATTTAATTATAAATGTTTTAATAAAATTATATTCAAAATAATTAGAAAGTGAAAAATAGAAATAAATAATGTTTATCTCGCAAGGTGTCGTATTTTGATATTAAAATCGTTTTTAAAGTTGGCAAGGCTAGGTTGGGTTTTAAAAGGCGCTAAATATGAAGCAGGGTATCCCTATAAATTTCAGACGATTTCTCGTATATTTTTGAATCAATTTTTAACACGGCTTTTTTTAGTTAAAATTATCTGAAATTAATAGGCTCTCTTACAGTGTACCAAACAAGTATGTATTTAATACTTCAAGAATGTTTAAAAAGAATAGGGAAGATTCAATACCTTTTAAATATATCGTTAATAAATACCATTAAATTTAATACTGTATAACTATTTTATTGTTATATTAAATATTTCTTATCATAAAAATAAAATTTTATACAGCGTGTTTCTTTTAGTTAAATTTAAAAAAAACTTTGTTAATAATTTTTTTAAAACTATAAAAAAATATAATAGTATAAAATATATAAATATTTTTTTTTCATGTAGAATAAATAAGATAAAAAATCATTTTAGAAATAATACGAATCTATTTTGAGCAATTCTTAATTGTCGATACCAATTTTTTAAATTTTGTTAGGCATACTTGTCTAAAGGATAGTGTTTGCCATATATTTTAAGATGCCTATGTAGATCTTCTTTTTGTTTTATCAAGTTTAAAGGCAACTTATCATATACATCAGTAAACATTTCGTCAATAGGTGGTTTCAATTCTTTTTCAGCATTGTTGAAAGCCTCCAATATCTATTTAATTTTTATTAAATATGAAATTAGCAATAATTGAAGAAAAATAATAGTACCAACTTGTGATCTAGACGTCTTCTGCAACTTCGCTTCAAGATTATCGTTCCAAAATCCTTGATTAGTCATGTATTTTTTCAATCTTTGAACTGGATTTTGTTCAGTATTCCAATAGTCGACTTCTTCCTTACTTCTATATGCGGAACTATCATCCGAAGTACTGTGATGACCAACTCTTGTATTTCGATTATAAATTATTAAAATAAAGTGAGTTGATATTTAGTCGTTTTAAATCAGGGGTTCGAACCGAACCGCAAAACCGGAATGAACCGTAACCTTAACCGAATCGTTATGAAGAAAATATTAAGAGCGAACCGAACCGTTATAAATATTTTGAACCGGTTCGGTTTTAAAAATAATTAATTTTAAATTATTAACCTAAATTTAAAATTTTAATTTTCCTTGGGAAAATTGGTGATTTCTTTTCAAATTAAATATTTCTATATTATCAACATTATATATCAAATTAAATATTTTTATATTATCAACATTATGTATCAAATAATACCAGGTTTGTTGTTTTTTCTTTAAATACTTAATTTATAAGAGATTAGACAATTTATCTGTTAATTAGATAAGATATCTTAAAATCAGAAATAATTATTCTTGACTAAATTAACAAATTTATATATAAGATATTAATAAGCTTTTAGAATAATACCTGTTAATAATTAGGAAAAAATTATACAATTCTATTATTAATAAATAACATCTAGTAGAAATCAAGTACCTTTTACATTCATTTTTATATCATATGGTTTATTTTTTATCTTATTATAAAAACTTGGACCATAGAATTTAAATGACAATAAATAAAATAGTCAGCAATATTTTAATGATATAATAATTTTTTATTTATAATCATTGTTTTTTTTAAATTCAGGCCAGAACTTTATAAGTTAGCTATAACTGTGCTAGCAGTTCCAGCTACGCAGGTCTCCGTAGAAAGAGCATTTTCAAGCCTTAAGTTTATACTCTCTGCGCAGAGAACTAAATTAAATCCTGAAATATTAGAAAATATTTTAGTTATCCGTTCGAATTCTCTTTTTAAACCTAAATAGTATAGTATACATATTATTTTATTGATTATTGTATTTACGCATGTTTGTTTTTATCTTATTTATTTATGAAATAAAAAAAAACTAATTTGTCTAATTTATATTTCCTAAATTTAATAAAAATATCTATTAGATTATCATGGATAAATTAAATAAGAAATTATAAACTAAAAAGATTTTTCTCTAAAATTAATATATACATACCCCCACATCTGCTCAGGGTGCAACTCGCCAGTTGACTCGAAGGGTAGACATAGTTTACATTGTCGCTCCTGCAATGGACGATTCATCAGACACAAGCAATGTAATACAATCATCCAACATGCTCTGAAATCCGCCCAAATTCCTTCCACGTTAGAACCACAGGGTCTTTTTAGATCTGACGGTAAACGTCCTGATGGGATCTCTCAAATCCCATGGAGGAGAGGCCAACTTTTGGTATGGGACTATTCCTGTATTGACCCCTTGGCCCCATCCAACCACGCCATCAACATCCTTGACCAGAAGGAACAACTTAAAATTTCTAAATACACAAAAATAATAAACGATCATTGCTTCATCCCAATCATATCAACCACTCTTGGCACCTTCGGCAAACTCGCCTTAGCATTTTTCAAAAAATTAGGATCACAAATCAGCAAACTCTCAGAAGAACCCCGAGAGGGTTTTTTTCTTCGTCAACGATTATCCATAGCGATTCACAAAGCTAATTATATCAGTTTCTATGGTAGCCTTCTAGCCAAAGAGCTATCATAGACAACGCTTACGTCCCTTTTTCATTTTTGTTTCCCTGCGTCACACCATCTCCGTTCTTTTTTTTAATAGTATTATTATATATTTTTCAAACATTTTTAATTATACAAATATTTTTTTTAAATTAAATTTATAAAAACCGGAACAAACCGAAAAGAACCGTTATAAATTATAAACCGAACCGAACCGATATGATTTTTTTTTTAAAAACCGAAATGGAACAAAACCTTTATAAAATTTTAAACTAAAAACCGGAACGAACCGAACCGTTATACTAAACGGTTGCCTCCTCGCTTCCATCGAATATTATGGTATTTAAATTAGAGATCTGTAAAAGTAGTCGGGCCTATTTTTTTTTAAAAAGAAATCGGGTTCGGACTGGGCCGGGCCGAATTTTTTTTTAAAAAATTTGAGCCGGGTCGGGTCGGGCTTTGGAAATTTTTTTTAATATATATAAATTTATCAATTTTATGTTGAATTTTAAATGTAAAATAAAAATAGATTTTATTTATAGAAACTAGACGCCATAAAACATATATCATTTATTTTGAGTAATTATAAAAATTAATTTTTATCGGTAAATTTTTTAAAAAAAAATTTTTAATTCGGACGGGCCGGCAAAATTTTTTAAAAAAAATTTCGGACCGGGTTTGAAAAATTAGGCCCGATGCAGATCACTAATTTAAATAATGTTAAAATATAAATAATTCCGTAGCAAAGCCAGGATAACTATATAATTTTAAAAACCCAAGATGGGCCAAAAAAATAAATTGTACCAATTAACTAGCTAAGAAATCACATGATATCATTTAAACATTTTTTGATCGGTAACAAAATACGACAAAAAATTCTGAAAATGGGCATCTTAAGCAAAAACAACGATTATTTGTTTCTAATTGTGATGAGTTTTTGAATATTCAAAAAAACTGTTTTTAGATGGGTCTGAGATTAGTACTTAAAAAAGCGCGCTAAAATTCTCCGCTTATTTTATTTTTAAAAAATTTTTAGGAAAATTTCTCGGTACTATAGTGAATAGTCGTCAAAACGAATTATAAATTTTCATATAGAAACCTTTTTTAATAAGCATAAAAATTCGGTTTAATATTATTAGTTTTCCTTTAATAATATTTTTGTATTTTTAATTGTAAAAAAGATTATACATAAAATACTTACACTTAAATCTAGTAAGCTACCATTTCCAAATCCCCCAATAATAATTCTTAGAAAATAATTTACCGGAATTGATTATCTCAAAATTTTTAAATATTTTATTTGAGGATCTTTATTTCGTGGATATATTTATAGGGAATTTTCTCTCCTATTTTATTAATTTTGTAATATTTAATATCTTAAAAAACGGAAAATTTTTTCCAGGGAATTATTTTCCTAGATTGACATTAACATCAAATATATTGTTTTCGAATAATTCAAATTGCATTCTCTAGGAATAGTAATAATATTTTTTAAAACAAATCGAATATTTTAGCAATCGATTCGGTTGCTCAGGATCATATTTAGAGAGGGGCATATTTATACCTATAAGTCATGGCTTCGATAAAAACGGGTTCCATATATTTAAGAGCATGATCGCGAGCCATTTGACAAGCAAAATATACGGCCAACGTGTCGTTTCCATCCACTCGTATAGAAGGAATACCCATACCCATGCATCTAGATATTATTCCGTCACCGGAATATTGGTCTTTAACATGTGTAGATATGGCATACGCGTTATTTCGGCTTAATAATTTGTTTTTTATGAAAAAGTCTAAAAAAGGTATTTTTTTTAATAACTTATAAACTATGTTTTACGTCAGCATATACCAATTTTCATCAGTCTGATCATATTTTTTTTAAATATCGAGTATTGAAAAATCACCGGTCCAATGCATCAAAATAATGGATAGTTTTATCATCAAATGATATTAATATTAGATCATTAAAAATAAATATGATAATTTTTAAATATGAATATAGAATATTTGCTATATAAATAAAATATTATTCATAAATTTTTGATTTATTTTATTCCCTACAACCATTTTTTTTTATAATTTTATTACTAAAAACTGGATCGATTTGCAAAAATGTATCGGTAGCAACACTGTCTTTTAAGTAATACGAGGGAAAATTTTAAAATTCCATATTTTTATAAAGTGATTATGTTAATCGTGTTGTACCATATAAAAATGACGGGGCATTTTAAGGTAATAGCGAAATTGAATCCCACAAACGCATCTCCCTCGCTAGCGGTACCATCCCCAAAATAGCACACAACGCATTGATTATTTTGAGCCATTTTGTAAGCGTAAGCAGAGCCCACGGCTAATATGTTTATTTTAAATTTACAAACTAAAATCCTTTTATTTGAAGATCGTTATATACCTTGTATTTTAAAATACATCGAATGTAACTTGTATTAATGAACATCCTTACAAACAAATATTTGGAGACCTAAAATAAAAGGACATGTGAATATGGCTTTCATAAATAAGGCAATGGCATTTTTTTAAATGCCCCATAAACAGTTTGATGAAGGCCTAATGTGATGTAGTTAGGATTAGGCAATGTTACATATTAGATATACAAGTCGCAAGCCCTTATATTTGCCCACCACAAAAATGTTGAGATTTTTTTAAAACCAAAATATTTAAATTTTACAAACCTTGAGGAATCTGCGTGGCAACAGGTGAAGATATAGTCACGAAATTTATTTTTTTATCGCCATAATGAACGGGCATTTGTTTACCTTTCCCTAGGTCCAATCTATTTGAATAGCACTGGTTCATGAATTGATCGAGAGTAAAACCACGCCACATTAATACCCCTATTTTATATTAGAATAAAAGAATACATTGATTATTCAAGCCGTTTTCATATATAAAAAATGTGGAATTTGGCGAATCTAACCGCTATCGAAAAGAGTCTTTATTTCAGAATCGATCATAATGAAGCTTTGTATGTAATTAAAAAGAGCAAATCGAATCTTTATAATTTTATTTTTTCAAAAATTAAGATATCTTAATGTTCCCTGGGAGTTACCAAGGTTCATATTTTTTTTAAACCCTAATCATCACAACATTCAACTTTTATTTTTTTTTTAAACAATGTAAAAATAATTAAGATTACCAATTAGTATTTGTAATTTTTTCCAAACCAATAACCTCAAGGCCATATTACTTAGTGGGATGGGGCAGTCAGATCGACCGTGGAGAAATAATTTTAATAAGAACTTCTTTCCTAACCCTTCTATTTTAATATCGATGGAAAATTTTAAATTATCAATAATTTTACATTAAAACTGAAACTAATGCAAATTAGAAAGTAAATTAGGTTTCAAGTTGGTAGTATTAATGGCGTTTAAAAGTTGACCTAAAATATGCACAAAGATGGGGTTTTTTTGTTCAAATAATTAAAGAGTCTCCCATATCTGGGTCTAGTTATTTGGCACTTAGGTGAATCTTCCTAGCAGGATGATACAAAGTGATAATGCTAAATTAAATAATGGAGTGATAGTGATGTTTATCTTTGCATATGAATTTTGGCGTTAAATGGAACTTGCCAATGAAATTAGAAGAAAAAAATGCTTCCAGCAATAAAGTCGATTAAGTGCGTATCAGGTCAATTCAGCGAAACTTTTATCGCGAAACACTTTTTCGCGAAACTTTTATCGCGAATGTCGTTTATCGCGAATGTCGTTTATCGCGAATGTCGTTTATCGCGAATGTCGTTTATCGCGAATGTCGTTTATCGCGAAGGAATTTTATAGCGAAGGCAATATCGCGAAACCAATTCCGCGAATTTTTTTCCGCGAAACTTTTATAGCGAAGACAATATCGCGAACTTATTATCGCGAATTTATTTCCGCGAAACCATGACCGCGAATACTTTATAGCGAATACATTATAGCGAAACTTTGATCGCGAACTCGTTATAGCGAATTTATTTCCACGAAACCGTAACCGCGAATACTTTATAGCGAATACATTTTAGCGAAACTTTTATCGCGAACTCTTTATAGCGAATTTATTTTCGCGAAACTTTAACCGCGAATACTTTATAGCGAATACATTTTGGCGAAACTTTGATCGCGAACTCATTATCGCGAATTTATTTCCGCGAAACCTAAACCGCGAATACATTTTAGCGAAACTTTGATCGCGAACTCGTTATAGCGAAACTTTAATCGCGAACCATTTATAGCGAATTTTCTACCGCGAATGTATTTGCGCGAAATTATTATAACGAGCGCATGACCGCGAAAATTGTGAATTCATTTTAAGTGAAATCGATATATTCAATATCAATTTACCAACTGAAGTTTCTTAAATCATAAACGCTAATGTTTTAAGAATATTTTATTACGTATTGTTTATTTAATAAGCATGTAACCTCTATCTGATGTGATAGAAAATATATTAGTCTTCCTGGTCTCACACACTCATGGTTGTAAGTATGGAGCGGACATTTTGGGTTAAGTTTTTAGCAGAATAAGTTAACCCCCCCCCCCCAACATAAAATTTAAAAGTGTGCTTTATGTCATTTAAAGTAATACTTTATTTCTAATCTAGATAAAAAAAATATACTGAAAGCTAAGAATTTTTTATTGATTTTCTCAGATTATTTTAATTATAGAAAATTTTACTGATAATTAATGCCTCCTAATTACAATTTTGAGATAATGCACATCGATATAACTTTGATATAATAGTAACTAATTCATTTGAATATTATGACCTTTCCTTTTTCTTCTATTCGCATTTTAATAAATAGAAATAACTGCAAAGTTATGATTAATCAAAAAAAAAATTCAAAATATTCTAGATTACATAAATTTGTAATATTTATGAAGAATAAATTTTGGAAATAAATCATTAGATCTTCAATTATTTTAGTTTTTTATTTTTGCTGATTTCACAAGTCAAACTAAACAATATAAAAAAAAATTAAAAAACGTAAAATAGTTTTCATCATTTTTTAAAATAATACCAGTTCAATATAGCGTATTTGTGAAAACATCGCTAAACGCTTCTACTCAATTTATAAGCACTTTTACTCATTTTTTCTAATAAAATGGAATTAAAAAAATCAGGGTTTTTTGAAAATAAATAGAAAATCCAAATCAAGAAAATAAAGATATTCCAATATCGGGAAATCAGGGCAAAATGGGTTAAGTGTTTATTTATTTACTTTTACATATTTTACCACGACAAGGGTGGGGGGGGTTGATAAAAACATTTTCTAAATTTTGAGAGGAATATATAAATGAAGGATAATAAAAAATAATTATAAAAAGTGGCTATATTTTAATTATATTAAATAGGTGTATTATTCAATTTTCTCATTCATTTTGTAAATTGCAAAAATTTTTAGGCCCGGCCATACCTCCCATATTCTAAGAGTGAGGTGGGATTTTTAATGACTAAAGGATAAAAAGCGGGAAAGCGCCACAACTGCAATCCTTTTATATATTAATATTGGTGAATACTTTTTTTCAAATTATAATTTACAAATTTTGAATTTGAATATAAAGTCAAAATATATAAAAATTAGATCCAAATCTACATATTTATCGGAAGGAATTTATTTTATTTAAAAGTTTATTATATATGAAATAAATTTTGACTCTTCGCAATTCATGTCAAAATTCTGCTTTACCATTAATTCGGCCTCTAATAAATCAAATGAGACCGAAGAAAAATTTTTTCGCCTAATCATATTCATTAAACTCATTTCTGAGCCAGCATTTGAATGTAGAATTAAAAATAAATTTTTAGATATTTTTTAGGCTTATATTTACATTTTTATTTAATTCTTTCTAAATATTCTAACTTGATCGTATCATTCAAAATCAAAGGTTTAAGCTATTTATATCTATAATTACCATAATAGTTTGATAATTCTGAATAACTTCTTTATATGCTTCAACTTGTGTATCACAGAGGAATAAACAAGATTTATATATTTTAATATCAGCGCCGTTAAATTTGGCGGCTGAATAGTTCTACGAACTAATTGTAAATTATATCATTATTTCTTGTTTGTACCAATTGAGTATTTAAACGAGTATAGTAGCTCGTAAAAGGAAAAAACTATTAGTAACAAAATTTTGGCAAATCTATGATTTAAGCGACGGAAATAATTTATTCAGAAAATTTTATCGATGTTCCGTATTAATTATAATTTAATTCGTTTAAGAGACAGTATAAAGAAAAAGTTTATTAGCAAAATAAGAAAAATTGCCTAATTAGGCATTATTGATAGAATGGAAAATAGCTGGTTTGCGCTAATATTTATTAATTCTTCAGTCATTATTTTCACACACAAAAAGGTAATCGTACTATAAGAGAAATAAAATCTATATCTCCCATTAAAGCGTAAAACCAACCAAATTTCTGGAAGCATTTAATCTGGAACTTAAATCAATAATTGAAATTTATTACATTGATTCTTCAATTCATTAGATAGTTTTTCGACAAAATAAGATAAAATTGCCACGATTGGCAACATGCGAAAAAAAACAAATATTTTTGGGTGAGCTCATACCATAGAAATGCCAGATTAGTACTTACTATTCCATCAATCCGTTTTTCTAGTCAATAAACAAAAACTAATTTTAATAAGAGAAATAGACAGTAGCAACCTTTAAGTATGAACAGGGTTGCCATGTCTCTCCCCATCAGCGGGACTCCCGCAATTTTTTAGTTTACACGCAAATATCTCTCTCCCGCAAAACTACGGCAATTGGAAATCTCCCGCAAAAATCTACCGCAATTTAATTTCTCCCGCGATTTTTAAAAAAAAGTATTTTAAACGTTTTTAATATGTAAATAATAATTTTGAGACATTAATTGATTATTTTTATATTTTTAAATTAAATTTTAAATATTTATTCGAAAAACATGTCTAGTTTGTAAATTTCTTTCTATCCTGTTTTATTTTTATCCAATAATAAATCAACATTATTTCATTAATATTAGTCAGTACAGGGGAGTATATCAACATCGATTGCAATACAAAAATATTCTCAAAATGAAACTATATTTGAGGAAATCGTATACATCTATTATGTAGTTCAACATTCACAGAGCTCTATATATATCATTACAATGTGGGTAGAATCTTTTTCTCATGATATTTAACGACTCCAATATAAGTGCAAACCTTACTTGTGGCAATAAAAATGAGCAAGGCTATCACAATGTTTTGGTACCTGAATCCTAGAGGTCAATTCTAGACGATTTGAAAGATGGGCATCCATATGCAATTCTAACAAATGTATCTAATAATGGAAATATTAAAACATTTCCCTCGATCCTTTGCAATTTCAACAAGAATAAGAACATTTCAATAAAACTGTTAAAAAAAAGTCCTCAAATAGTGAAAAATCTAACGATGTAGCTAGCCACATAAGGGTAAATATAGCTGATTCAAGGTTATCAATGATTTGCATGCCAGCTTTCTGCGCTGATAATGCCTCTGTAAATTTTGGGCAAAACTAAAGTTACCGAATTGAGGCAGCACAAATGAATTATTACCAATTGGCTGTATATGCCATATATACTACATAGTTCTTGCAAAAAGGCAATGAATGTACTGTCTGTGGATGTCGAAATAATTGTGATGAAATATTTTAACGAATTTAGTTCAACTAAAAGAGTTAATGAATTAAAAGAGTTGGTGAAGTGGTCTGACTTAAAATGGTGTGAGTTGTTGCGATATATACCTATCAGGTGGTTGTCATTAATACCTGCCATCGATAGAATTTTAAAATTTTACAAACCCTTAAAAAAATACTTCTTAAATAAAGATTTTAAAGGCTGTCCTAAAATTTGAAAAAAATTTTCTAATATGAAATGGCAGAAGTATATTTGGTATTCTTTTCACATGTAGGAAATCTACTGCATGCAGTTAATATTCAGTTGCAATCAGAATATTCTTTATTAA